AGTCAATCACTCCTGTCTCCTTCAGCTGTCTGTGTATTCTGTGCTCACCAGGCCTGTGACCTAGCTTTTCTATCTCAGGCATGCGACCCTGTTTTGAGTCTCCAAACCCTGCGGACTCCTGCAGTGGGCTCCCCCACCACTCCTCCCGGGGGAGGAAGGAGGGTCTCGCTGGTTCTGTAGCTTGCTGGGCCCCTGCTTGGGGAGCAGTCGCCTGACCATGTCAAGGTTCAGGGTTTATGGCAACACTGAGCTGAGAGGCCACTCCTAGGCTCACTGGTTACAGCCGGCTTCCCCACTCCAATACCTGGGAGCTCTGCCTCACTCAGGCACCCCCAGTCTTTCTGTGACTCCGAGGGTCCTGAGACCACACTGTCCCACCTAGGATTCCAATCTGCTTCGCCACCTGAACACCTTTCAGGCGGGGACATCCCTCACCAGAGCCAACTTCCTAAAGTTCCGATTTTTTTCTCCACCGCTCTATCACTTGCCGGTGCTGGCTGATGGAGGCTCCCTGCCCCCGCAGTTTATCTTCCCATATATCACCTTGGATTCCCTTCCCCACACCTTCTACCTTGCAGAAAGTGGTCGCTTTTCTATTTGTAGAGTTGCAGCTATTCTTTTCTTAGGTCTCTGGTTGAGTTTGCAGGTGTTCAGAATGATTTGATAACTATCTAGCCCAATTCCTGGGACCGGATGAAACCAAGGTTTCCTACTCCTGCCATCTTGGAATCTCTCCGCCTGATTCATTAATATTGTATACCTCTTTACTTGAGTTTTCTTTAATTTCACTCACGATGCTTTGATGTTTTCATTGTACACGTCTTGCAGATATTTTTAAATTCATTCCTAATTCATGTTTTTGGATGCTACTGTAAAGTTTTTAAAATTTTGATTTTCAGTTGTTCATTGCTAGTCCATAGAAATAGAACTGATTTTTTAATATTGTATCCTATGATATTGTTTCTTTTCTTTCCAATCTAGATGCCTTTTTCCTTGCCACATGTCCTTGCTAGAAGCTCCATGATGCTGCTGAATAGAAGTGGTAAGAGTAGACATCTTACCACCATAAGGAGAAGTTTCCTTATAGCGTTAGTTTGTTTAGAGTTTGTATCATGGATGGGGAACAACATTTGTTAAATGCTTTTTCTGCATCTACTGAGGTGATCACATTTTGTTTTTTCAGTCTTTTAATATGGTGAATTGCAGTGATTTGTTTCTGAATGTTAGGCCAACTTTGTATTCTTGTAATAAATCTCACTTTATCTTTTTTACATATTGCTGGATTTGATTTGCTAATATTTTATTAAAGATTTTTGCATCCATGTTATATTTTGTGTTTTTTTCCCCACTCACTGTAATATTTGTGAGATTCATCTGTATTATTGCATGAGTTGTAGTTTGTCCATTTATTATCGTATATTATTCCATTGCATGAATATTCCATATTACTTCTTCTGTTCTCCTGTTGATGGACATGTGGGTTATTTTCAGTTTGGGGCTGTTATGAATAGTGCTGTTATGAACATTTTTGTGCAGGTCTTCGTGATGCGTTTCAGTTGGGTGTATACCCAGGGATTGAATTGCTGGGCCCTATGGTATACTTATGTTTAGCTTTACTATCAGACAGTTATCTAAGATATTTGAGCTGAAATATTTGTGCTGATGGAACATCAACAGCATATGAGAGTTCTGATTGCTCTACATTTTGCCAATACTTGACATTTCTTTTTCTTTTTCATTTTTGCTATTCTGGTGGCTGTGTACTTGTATCATATTGTGGTCTTAAATTTCTCTGATGACTAGCAAGGTTGAGCACCTTTTTGTTTATTGGTCGTTTGCATAGCCTCTTTTGAGAAGTTCAAGTCCTTTGCTCTTTTCTCCCGTTGGATTATCTGCCTTTTTATTATTGATTTGTGGGAGTTCTTTGTATATTCTGGATACGAGTATTTTGTAGGATAGACATATTGCAAACATTTTTTTCTCACTCTGGGTTACCTTTGGCTTCCCTTAATGGTGTTTTCCACTGTCTTTTTTCTTAAATATTTATTTATTTGAGAGAGAGAGAGTGGGGGGAGGGGCAGAGGGGGAGGGAGAGAGAATCTCAAGCAGATTCTATGCTGAGCGCAGAGCCCAACGCAGGGTTTGATCTCACGACCTTGAGATCACGACCTGAGCCAAAACCAAGAGTCAGACGCTTAACCAACTGCACCACCCAGGTGTCACTCCACTGTCATTTTAAATTATATTTAATGGAAAACCTTTTTCCATGTTTGTCCCATATGAACACTGGGCTCCCAGTAGGCCTATAGTTTGCTATTTTTTTCCTACATCACAAAGTGTTCTTAGATAAGGTGGAAGAAACCTCCCACAAAGAATACAAATGTATGAATCCACCTATATGAAGTTGTAGAAAGGCAAAACTAATCTAGGGTAAAAAAAAAAAATGAGAGCAGCATTTGCCTCCAGGAGCATGGTGAGAGATACTGACCGGGAAGGGGCATGAAGGAACTTTCTGGATTATAGCAGTGTTCTATATTTTGACAGGGATCTGGGTTGTACAAGTATGTGCATTTGTTAAAACATATCTAGTGGTATGTTTAAGATACTTGCATTTTATCGTGGTATGTTTAAGATGCTTGCATTTTATCGTAGTTGAATTTGACCCCAAAGAAATAAAACTGTAAACAAATGTTGAACTCAAGTTAATAATATACCCATTTAAGTATTTAGGGGGAAGCATATTAATATCTGCAGCTTACTTTGAAATGCATCAAAAAGAGTTCAGGTTGCAGGATTAAGGGGTGGATGGGTTGCTGTATGAGAAAGCGACTGGTGGGTGCTTGGGCGGCTCAGTTGGTTAAGCAACTGCCTTCGGCCCAGGTCATGATTCTGGAGTCCCGGGATCGAGTTCCGCATCAGGCTCCCTGCTGAGCAAGGAGTCTGCTTCTCCCTCTGACCCTCCCCCCTCTCATGTACTCTATCTCATTCTCTCTCTCAAATAAATAAATAAAATATTAAAAAAAAAAAGAGAAAGCGACGGGTGTAAAATGCTGTGGTAAAAATCTAGGTAGCAGCTACATGGGTATTCACTGTAAAAGTCTTTCAACTTTTCTTTATTCTTTTTCTTTCTTTCTTTCTTTATTCTTTCTTTCTTTCTGTCTGTCTGTCTTTCTTTCTTTTTTTTTTTTTTAAGATTTTTATTTATTTATTTGACAGAGAGAGCGAAAGAGCACAGCAGAAGGAGAGGAAGAAGCAGACCCCTTTCCGAGCAGGGAGCCCGATGCGGGACTCGATCCCAGGACACTGGGATCATGACCTGAGCCGAAGGCAGATGCCTAACCATCTGAGCCACCCAGGCGCCCTCTTTCTGTCTTTCTTTCTGTCTTTCTTTCTGTCTTTCTGTCTTTCTTTCTGTCTTTCTTTCTTTCTTTTCTTTCTTTCTTGTGGGCAGCAAGGCAAAGTTTATTGAGCGATAGTACAAAACTCCTGAAGAGGGAGGGGACCCACAAGGGTTGTCCTCAACTTTTCTGTATGTTGGAAAAGTTTCCTAATAAAATGGAGAGAAATAAATAAGATGAAAGCTCTCAAAGTCCTTTAAAGTTGGGTGAGGCTGAAAGGAGGCTAGCTTTTCTTTTCTTTCTTTTTTTTAAGATTTTATTTATTTATTTGACAGAGAGACAGCGAGAGAGGGGATACAAGCAGGGGGAGTGGGAGAGGGAGAAGCAGGCTTCCTGCTGAGCAGGGAGCCCGATGTGGGGCTCGATTCCAGGACCCTGGGATCATGACCTGAGCCGAAGGCAGACGCTTAACGACTGAGCCACCCAGGTGCCCTGAGGCTAGCTTTTCTTGCTCCGTCACCAGCTCCTGCAGACCCTCCCTCCATCTGTGTGTCACGCTGTTCTGTCCCATGGCTATCAGTGCTGGAAAGTGGCTTCCTCCCTTGGAGCCTCCAACACATTTCCCTCTTTCCACACAGGAGCTCAGGCTCCTCTGTGAGCATTTGGGTCTTGATCATGTGCACGATTCAGGACGGTGGCTTTGTCACTGCAGTGACACCAAAAGGCTTTGCATTTGGTCCCCCAGCGTGGCACCTGGCCTGTGAGGCAGGGTGGGGATGCCCCAGTACCACTCTGCTTCCTGGGCAACTCAGGGCCTCCCTGGTTAACCCATTAACACACACAACCTTGGTTCATGGGAAACATCTGGCCTTCTGCTCCCTGGCCGTTGAATTAAACTTTGGGGAGCAGTGCTGGACCTGAGAAAGAGCCTCAATCTGCAAGACACCATGTTTTACCCTCCAAAGTATAAAAACAAAACAATTTTTAACGTGATACTACTTCAATGCTGGCAAGGATGTGATGATGGCAGGGCACATGGGTACATGACCCGTAAAAGCTTTTTTATGGAAATATTTTACATATGTATAGAAATTCTATATTTTGAATCCATAAGTTATATCCAAGGATTTATCTCTAAGTGAAAAGTCAAAATGTTTTCTTTTTCTTTTTTTTTTAAAGATTTTATTTATTTATTTGAGAGAGAGAGAATGAGAGATAGAGAGCACGAGAGGGAAGAGGGTCAGAGGGAGAAGCAGACTCCCTGCCAAGCAGGGAGCCTGATGCGGGACTCGATCCCGGGACTCCAGGATCATGACCTGAGCCGAAGGCAGTCGCTTAACCAACTGAGCCACCCAGGCACTCTCAAAATGTTTTCAAAGGTCTAAATATGAAGATATTTTATAAGTTATCATAATAATAGCAAAAATTGGATATTGCCTGCCAGGATACTAATTCAATGGCAGTTCAACAATGTGATACAAATATTACCTAGACATTTTTCACTATATACTTTTAGCGGGAGAAATGAGGTTATAGAACTTTCTATACAATGTGATCCTCACGACATGCTAAAGGACTACGAGAGATTATTTGTTCTCCTTTTTATAGTTTCTGGTATTTTCCAAGTTAGCTGTAATACATGCACATTGTTTTTCGAATTAGAAAAGAATTTTCAATGTGGCAGTCTGGAGCTGAGATATGAAGGAGAGGTCTACTGGGGATTCACGGTATGATGCATTTAAAGAGACTGTACCTTAAAAGGTTTGTTTAAAAACTCTTAAAATCAATTTGTCAAATCTTTTGCTTTAATATGAAGATAGTGCAGGACCCCGTTTAAGATCAAACTGATGGAAATGTTAAGTCAGTGGGTAGAGGGGAAAAAAGACTACTGCTAAAGGGTGGAACTTTGCCTGCACTGGGCTGGAGCAAAATTGCATTACAAAATTCCCAAGAGTATAACTGCAAGCAAGGGGTGTGAACTGTCCATCGTGGTAAAGGCTGCTGTTCTTGCTATCTTGCATCATTGATGGCATTGGCTGTCAGTTCCCACCATCCACAGGGGAAGTGAAAGGTCAGTGGAAGGGAAGGAATAGGGAGAAGGGAAATTTCACTTAGGAGGTCCTTAGAGTTCGCACTGTGATGGTAATTTTGCAAGCATTATCCGTCATCTTATCCCGAGAGTAGCCCCGTCAGATGTGCATTAAAACGTCACCAGGAAGTGACAGAAACCTGCATCAGACTAGCTCAAGCAAAAAGGGGATGTAATGGTTCAGTTATCTAGAAAGGACAGCTTGAAGGAGGCCTCATGTGATAACGTCGTGAATCTCTGACAGGTTATACCCCAGTCCCCCCCTCAAATGGCTGCAACAGTGTCTTCCATCCCACAGGCCTTTCCAACGATGGGACTTTGACACTTCTCTTATTAAGCAATGGGGCCTGTGTTCTCTGTCCTTGAATTTGGGTGTGCTTATGATGATGGCGGAGGTGCCACTATGTGGCTTTGGAGGTGAGGTGATACAGGTTCTGCCTGGGTCTCTTGGGACACCCGCTCTGGGAACTCGTGCTATTAGGAAGCCTCCCCCACATGGCGAGCCCTGTGTAGGGGTCCTGGCTGACAGCCAGGGTCAGCCACCAGGCACCAGCATGAGTGACGAGGCTCTGAGGGGACTCCATCCCCATGATCATCTAGCGGCAACCACATGAGCTACTCTGAAAAACAGCATCCAGCGAAAGCCCAGTCGAGTCCAGAACCGTGAGAATGGTAATGAAATTATTGTTGTCTTAAGCCACTAAGTTAGGGGGTGACTTGTTATACAGCAATAGATAACTTTTTTCTTCCAGTGTCCAAATAAAATCTATGGTAAGAGCTAATTCGCTGCGTCCTGACCATGCTGGATCATCACTGTGGCCCAAGGAATGGAGTTCTGTAACCTAGGTTGCCAGCTGTATACTTGCCCTTTCCCCTGTTAATGACATCCGAGTTCTATTTGGGTTGACAAGGTGCACAGTCTGTCTTGTAGCTAAGCATGTGGTTAAATTCTGGCCAATGAGACACAAGCAGAGGTGTATGTGGTTCTTTAGGGACAGATCCTGTATTTGTTTCCTATAATCTTGCCTAGTCTCCTGTTGCTGTAACAAATTATTATAGATTTAGTAGCTTAAAACAACACAGATTTATTGCCTTCCAGTTCTGGAGGTCAGAAGTCTGACCCAGATCTCACTAGGCTAAAGTCAGGGTGCCGGGAGGGCTGCATTCCTTCTGGAGGCTGTAGGGGAGTCTTTCTTTCCTTGTCTTTTCAGTTTCTGGAGGCCCTGGCTTAGGACTTCTTCAAAGCCATCAATATCACATCACTCTGACATTGACTGTTCTCCTTGCTTCTTCCACATTTAAGGACCCTTGTTATTATAGTGGGCCCAGCTAGATAATGCAGGATCATTTCTCTACTTTAAGGTCAGGTAATTAACAACCTTACTTCCATCTGCAACCTTAATTGCCCTTTGCTGTGTAACCTAACATATGCACAGGTTCTGGGGATCAGAACATGGACATCCTTGGGATATCATTTCTCTGCCTACTGGAGATCCTCAGATGGGAGGGGATATCATTTTGTCCTTTCCTCCTCCTTCCCCCATCTTTGTTTTTTTAAAGATTTATTTATTTATTTGAGAGAGAGAGGGCATGGGGGGGAGGGGCAGAGGGAGGGAGAGAATCTGAAACAGGCTCCACACTGAGCATGGAGCCCAACTCGGGGCTTGATCTCATGGCCCTGAGATCACGACCTGAGCTGAAATCAAGAGTTGGAAGCTCAACCAACTGAGCCACCCAGGTGCCCCATTCCCACTGTCTTGAATGGACTCAGATATGTCCACTTATGGAATGAGGTTCTGTGGTTGGCAGCCTACCAGAACCACCTCTTGACAGTTGCTCAAATGGGAGAGGGAGGGGATGCTGGATGGACAAAAACATCAAATGTCCTCTGTGAACATGTGCTACAAAAATGCTGCATAACCAACAACCCCCAAGACTGAGGACCTTACAACAACATCTATCATCAGTGTGTAGTAGCTCACAGGTCTTCAGTTGATGGTGGCTCTGCCAGGCTTCTCTGAGACCAACTGGACTTAACTTTAGGCTGTGGGTTAGGTTCAGGTGTGTTCTACCTTCTCTCACATCTACCTGGGACAGCTGCTCCTCAGGGATATTCTCCTCAGGAATATTCTTCTCGTGGCAGATGGAAAAGTATATGAGGGCAAACCAAGCCAAGTAAGCACATCCACAGCTCTTCCTTGCATCATGTCTGATCAAATTTCACTGGCCAAAGCAAGTTATATGACCATACCCAGTGTCAAGGGAGTGGAAATGAAAATTCTGCCCATTCTAGTGGGAGGGTCTTCAGAGTGACGCACAAAGTTGCATAGATATATAATTACTTGAAGCATGTAAAGGGTTGGGAGCCATCACCCACTTTGCCACAGTGGTGTAAACCAAATCATTTCTCTCACCAGTGGGGGAGTTTTGGAGGGATTTTTCTTTATGCCCACTTGACCTGATGGGCTAATTCCTCAGGAATAGTGGAGTGGAGACATTTCCTTAAAAAGAAGGGATGAGGGTCCAAGTTCACATGAGCACAAAAGATAAACAATTTAAGATTGAGAAAGAGTCTGGGCTACTTCATCCAGAACCTCTCAAACCTTAAAATCCTAAGAAAGATTAATTCATTTTTTAATTTAAACCCTTTTGTTGACTAATAATAGTTACCATGTATTAATTTTTCTTCTGTGTATTAGGCATTTAATCAGTCCTCCCTCATAGAGATTATCCTATTTTATACACAAAAAAATCTCAGGCTAAGGGAAGATAAGAAACTTGCTCAAGGTCACGAAGAACAAAAGTGGTCATGTCTTGATTTAAATTCAAATCTATCTGCAAAGCCCATGCTCTTTCCAGTCCGGTGTATCACCTGATGAACTGGCAGCATCCTTTAGGGCCACACTTGGGCAAAACTGTGCTAAGGGTGGGGTAATCGCCTCTCCAAAATTCCTCCCACTTTGCAGTCCCCCTTTCTTTTGACTTCTCCTGCTTGATGGTGATGCCCTGGGGTTGGTGTGTGATTTCTCAATGTGGTCCCCTTGGTAGCAACCCGAGCTCTAGCTTGTTCATGACTGCCATCAAAACTGCTAACTCCCATGCTTTTAAGGTCCCAGATCTCCAACACAGATGAACCCAATCAAGTGTTCCCAAGCGAGTCCTCCAGGTCATGAATCACGTTTATACTTGACAAAGACCTTCAGGGTCTTACTCCTAAAGAAGGGCTGCTGGTGGAAGGGACCAGCCCATGGGTAGCCACAGAGGAGTCAGCAGGCACATGAGTTTCCTGGGGTTCCTGCAACAAATCCCATAAACTGGGTAACTTAAAACAATAGAAACTTATTCTCCCACAATTCTGGATGCCAGAAGTTCAGGTTTAAGGTACTGGCAAGGTACCTTCTGGGAACCTTGAGGGAGATTCCATTCCATGCCTCTCTCTTAGCTTCTGGTGTTGCTGGGAAACCTTGGCATTCCTTGGCTTATGGCTGCATCAATCCAATCTCTGCCCCCATGTTCACATGGCCTTTATCTCTGTGCATCTCTGTGTCTCAAATTTCTCTCTGTTCCCTCTTAAAAGGACACCAGTCATTGCTTTAGGGCCCATCCCACGTCCAGGATGATCTTATCTCGAGATTCTTTTTTTTTCCCCCAAGGTCAAGAATGTCTTTATTGAAGTAGGATGATGGGACATGGGGGAGGGAGACCCTCAAAGGCCTAGGGCTCTCCCAGTACCTGGCTGTGTGTTCCACTGTAGCTGGCGGGTCCAAGTGGCTGAGATATCCCAGGGCCAGCAGCCAGCATCAAGGGCGGAGAGATTACCCATCCCCCCAAGTGCCACGGTCTGTGGTTGGTATTGCACCAATTTCCCTGGAAAGACTTTATGGGGCTTTACAGCTCCTAAAAAAAGAAAATACAGTCTAGAATTAAGTTCACTCATTACTTAGAAAAATCATAAAACATAAGAAAAAGCTATTGGTTGACCAATTCCTGGTCTTCCAAGCATTGAGTTGTAGCCAAGGCAGGGGTGTTGCAAAGCAGGGGGGGTTGATTCTCTGGATGAATGCAGAGAGGGCATCCCAGGGCACTTCTGTTGCCCTCCAGTTTGTGGTTTACAGATCTTTCAGGGCAAAGATGGTGTCTGAATTATCTTTAAATCCTAGGTTCCTGAAAGAGCTTTGCTTATTTTGTGGTCTGTTCTTAGCTGTTCCACGTTCTTTCAAAAGAGAGATCATATAAAATCACAAATAATTAAGAGAGGAAACATTCTGAAATCTTACTTGGGAGCTGCCAGGGACAGAAGCATTGACTTGCCTTGACTCAGGCCCCTAGGGCACAGCTCTGCTAAAGCCAGCCTCTACTGATTATTTTTCCTGGCCCATCTCAACTCCAGACAACTGTAATTTAATTTTAAACACCTGTAATCATCTGGTTACTTAAATCACCCTCTCAACAACTTCCTAGCCTGGCTCCCATCAAGCCAGCCATTTCTGGGCCCTTCAATTTCCCCTCTTCTGGCTTTCCTTCCTATCTATACTGGGCAATGACCTTCTGCTCAACCCCATTTTATTGATGAAGAAACTGAGGCTAACAGAGGTGACCTAACTTGCCCTGTGTCTGTGTAACTCAGGCAGCGGCTGAGCCAGGTCCCCTACTGGCCCCCGATCTACAGCACTGGTTCCCAGGCTTTTGGCTTTTGGAATTACTCTTGTGTGGGGAGAATGTTCTGGGACGACCCACACTTATTTGCATGGTTGACTTCCCACCTTTTGGAGCATGGCCAAGGTGGGGAGCAGCACTTTGTAACTCCAGGCCAGGACCTGTCTGGATGGTGGGGAAGGAAGTCTCGAGGGTGAGGATGCACACTAGGGAAGGCCCCCCGGGCTGCTAGGAAGTTGTGTTTGCCAGGCATTGTGTGAGGCTCTTTACCCATTTTGTCAGCCCATTTTCTAGATGAAGAAAATGTGGCTCCAAGAAGAGCCATGATCCAGCACCCGAGAGACCGCAGTTTGATTCACAGGTAAGTCTGTCACCAAAGGCAGATTGGAGGTAAGAAGTGCCGCTGTGGATGCCTCACAAGGGGGAGGGTGAAGACTGGTGCCCTGCCCTGCGCCCCACTGCCGATCTCATCTGTTCCCAAACGACAGCCTGTGAACCAGCCTGGGGCTGTACGTGCATTTCCGCAGGAGCCATCGGAACAGGCATGGTCCCTGAAGCCACTGGTGCCGTGTTCCCAGAACACCACAGCTTGTGGGGTGCCTGGGGGGCTCAGGTGGTTAGGCGTCTGCCTTCGGCTCAGGTCATGATTCCACGGTCCTGGAATTGAGTCCCGCCTTAGGCTCCTTGCTTGGCAGGGAACCTGCGTCTCCCTCTGCCTGCCGCCCCCCCTGCTTGTGCTCTCTCTCTCTGGCAAATAAATAAAGTCTTAAAAAAAAAGAAAAAAAAGAAAAAAGTATGGTTCATTGGGGGTCCCCGCTCCAGCCTGGGAGATGTGATCTGCTTCCCTGAGCTGCTCTTCAGGAAGACCTGCACAGTAGGCGGGGGATTTCACAGCACCTTCTGCTAGCCCAGTGGGGCAAGGGTCACCCTTGTAATCGGACAGACAGGGGCACTGCAAAGCTGAGTGGCAGCCGGTGGTCACGAGAGAGAATGTGACAGAAGGGGACAAGCAGGCCCTTCCTGGGCAGAGAGCCCTGGGTTTGGATCCATTCACATCACCTGAGTCTTAATCCCTTCATCTGAATAATGGGTCCGGTCATTCCCATCACAGAGCATTGAGGTGTAGTACTGACTTCAAAGCACCGCGGGATTAAATTCACCAACCGGAGTAATGAACCTGAACGGGAGGCTTGCCCTGCAGGTTCTCAGCAAACGACAGCCAGTAACTGGAGGTCACACCAGTTGTGGGCAAGTGGGCCTTTCCGCTCCCATGGTGGTTCTCTCCCATCTGCGTCCGGGGGAGAAGAACCATGGCGTAGTCCTAACACAGTCCTAGCCCACGTGACTGCAGATGGCCAGGCTGCCCTCTTTGTCAGGGCCTCCCTAGGCCGAGGCCCATTCTCTGATGCTGGCTGGCAGCTGGGCAGCAATACGGTGCCCAAGCACACAACCGCCTTGCTCCGGCTTCCTTTCACGAGCTCGAGTACCGGGCAGGCAGGTTCTTCTGTCTGCGCTCCTGCCACTGCCTGCACTCCTGCCACTGCCGCCACAGGGAGTGACCATCTGCTTCTGGGCTAGGTCCTTGACTCTGACAGCCATTGCAAGGGATGTTGCCAGGGACAAGAGTTGGTAGAGAACTGGCGGGAGAAAAATTCCTGATGAAGGGTCACACACCGGGCACCCTCGCTAGGGCAGGAGTTTCTCACACCATTACATATCACACTGACCGCCACCCTCCAGGTTAAGTGAGGTAGGCCTGACCCCAGAGCCAGGTCCGTCTGGACAAGAACCATACCCTGGACTCACTGAAGGTGGTTTTTCCTTTGGTTTTACCCCTGAAGCAGGCAAAAACTGATCAAAGGAGAGAATGTAGGTATGGGTATAGTTGAGTGGCTTTTACCCCACCTCAGGCTCAGAGATGCCTGGGAGTTCCGTGGCCTTGGCAGGCTGGGTGCCGTGAAGCTGGGTGGGGGGAGAGCAGAAGAGAGAGAATGGAGGGCCTTCTGCCCCATAGGCCTTCAGTCACATTGGCGCCCAGGAAAGGCTAACTCCCGTATAAATGACATGGCTGCTCAAGAAGTCACTTCACTCAGGGCGCACGTCTAGGTTTTGAACCTTGGCCCCATTGGGAGCGCTCCCCCGCCCCCCATCTACACCTGCTTCTACGCGAGCTTCTGGGGTTCATTTTCCATGCGCAGGCTGGGCTGGCACGGTACAATCACCATTCTCAGAACCCATGGATGCCATCAGGTCCACAATCTGAATGCCTCTGACCACATCTACTTCCCAGCAGCTGCCTAGCCCCTTTGTTGACAAATCTGTGCTTTTCAGCTTATCAAGACTTGTATCAGGTGCCACTTCCCACTGAAGGCATGCTGTACGCCAGGCCCTTCCTGCTGTTCTGGTTTCTCCCATTCCAGCACAGGGCACACCTGTGAGGCTACCTTGTGTGGTGCAGGCATCTGAGCCAGGGAGATGAGTGTGTGAATGCTGGCTCTTAGATTATTTGCCAGCTGAGTGGCCTTGGGCAAGTCACTCCAACTCTGATGCCTCCCTGTATTGCTGGCTGAACTAGGTCTAAGACGAAGGCACAGGCTTCGGAGGGAAGGCACAGCTGTCTGGCCTCAAGGAGCTTCTCCCTTGACCCCTTTCAGCCTCAGCATACTCATCTGCACAATGGGAAAACCACAACCTTCCTCCCAAGACTGTGCGAGTGAGTCGGGTAGAACATCTGGCAAGGAGGGCCTGCTGGCTGTCTTTTTTTCTTTCTTTCTTTTCGACAACCTACAACCCCCAGGGTCAAGCTCCAGCCTTTCTTCTCTGTAACCTTAAGCCCTAGCCTCCTGGGTCCTGATCTCCCTTCTCCCTGCTGAGCACCCACCTTCCCACTCGGTTTTGCCTGTCCAGCCGCCCCATGGGCCTGGAACTCTGGGAATGCCCCGTGGCAGATGCACAGTTCATTCCTGACTGGAGCTTCTAGTCTTGCTCCTTTGCTCTGGAACCACGAACGGGAGGGACTTCAGACAAACCTCAAATACTTGTCAACCCTGCTTTACTTGGAGCTTGAGGCCAGCAATGTCCCCAGCAGAGGGTTGGCAGTCCCTGCGGCCTGAGGTCTCAGCCAGCCCACCTGGTCAGTGTGGCTGAAAGGGGGAGGAAGGAGGAGGTAGGAAAGGCTATTTCTGTAACCCTTTCCCTCCCCACCAGAGGTGTGTCACCTGCCTTGCTCCCCACCAGAGTAGAGGAGGGTGAGCTCAAACACTTCCAGGCGAAATCTTTAGAAAAAGGAAGTGAGAAGGAGCGATTGGAATCGAGTAAACTATTTCAAGAACCCAGATTACTGAAGACTTAAAGTAACAAATGTGCTTTTAATAGATCTATGGATAAAAACTACTCAGCGCAGGTCAGTAACCATGATGGCCCTACTCTGTTGGAGCCATGTCCTGTACGGTCTTCAGGACCTAGGTTAACAGGCTATTTGCATTATTTCATGTCATCCACAGTATTAGAGAAGAAAGGCATTAGATCAGTTTAGATGAAATGCAATGTTGGCAGCCAAATCCAGTCTGTTATATTCCATATTTTTTCTTTAGTTCTTCTACTTTGTTGACGTAAGCTTTCATGGCATCTTCCTTGGAAGTCCCTGGAAGGAATCAACAGGATTATTTATCAGAGAGGCAGCACGGTAGAAAAGCAGCAGACTTAAAAGCCCTAGACAGCCCCAGTTTCATGCTTGGAGGCTCAGTTTCTCCCCTGTGAAGTGGGGTTTCTCTTACCTGCACCTCACAGACGTCCAGGATTCAACTTGAAATACTTAAGGAGCTGGGCCCGCAGCAGATGCTTCCGAAAGCACTGAACCCCTAATGTGTGGGCAGCTGTCCTGAGGCCCGTCATTGGCCTGCGGGCCGCATGAGTCCCCCACTGTTGTGAGTGAGTGGTCAACCTGAGCCTCGGGGGCAAGGCTGGACGCTCCAGACAGGTCGGAAAGCCTACTATGGGGAGTCGCAGCGACTTTCCTGGCCCTGTTGACTCTGACTCTCACGGTTGGCTCTGACCTATCTGTTGGCTCTTCTCTGCTAGAGCTGCTAAGCTGGCAGTGAGAAAGCAAAGCCAGGCACCCTCTTCTCCCCAGAGAGGAGCTGTGGGAAAAGTTTCGAGAACTGTGAGCAAAGGCAGCTAGCTCGTGGAGGTGAATGAGGCACATCTCTGCCCTCCTGCCACAGTCCAAAGGGCACAGACCATATCCCTCAGAGACAGTGAGCCCCGGTTTCCTGGACTCTGCGGTGAGGGAGAGATGCTGGGAATCGGAGCGCTTTCTGAAACACTGCAGAGCGCCTGGACACCGGTATGCGAATGGCCAGTGACGGTGGGCAGTCAGAGGCGCATTCCTGTTCCAGTTACTTGCAAATCCTAGGAGTGTATTGATTGTATCCTGGCCCTTTTTGAATCTGAGGGCTTTTCATTCGCAGAAAGACAGAGGGCTTATTCAGAAGCTAGCGAGCGAGAACACAAAAGCTGGTAGGCAGCTTCAGTGCCAACTGGTGGGTCTTGCTGCCGCAGGTGGCACGTGATGAAGTCAGAGCTGGGGTACTTCTTGGCTACTGCTGCTTAGCGTGTAGTAGCTCTGTTCATGGGGCCTACGGTGTGCCATGCAGTACTCACTCCTTTCCTTTATGTGCCTTTCTGGCTGGAAGGGAGCTGGGGAGGGCTGCTTGGGCTAGGGGATCACTGCCCGGCCTTGCGAGGAAGAGGAAGGTGCAGGCAGGAAACCACCCCTACTTTTTTTTAAAGATTTTATTTCTTTATTTGACAGAGAGAGACACAGTGAGACAGGGAACACAAGCAGGGGGAGCGGCAGAGGGAGAAAGAGAAGCGGAGCAGGGAGCCCAACGCAGGACTCCATCCCAGGACCCTGGGATCATGACCTGAGCCGAAGGCAGACGCTTAATGACTGAGCCACCCAGGCGCCCTGAAACCATTCCTTCTTGTGAATACACATAAAACCCAGGCCAACTATTTCACGCACACTCCCACACATAGTCTGTTTTCCAGTAACTTGGTCCCCAGCCCCTCCTCTCCCAACAATACCACTGCTCAGAGACGGAGCTCTTGGAGAAGGCATACATGGTATTAGGAGAAAAAGTAGGTGGCCCAGTTTTTTTCCATTTTGGCCAGGCCAGGCTGGTTTCTGGCATGTGCCCTATCCATTCTGTTTACTCTCCTCACCCTTTACACACTCCATAATGAAGAGTATTTCATTACTGGGCTTCACAGACTAGGGAAACTGATTACGAACAATTACCTTTCAGATGATTCCAGGCATCCCACTTGGCCTTGCCTTTGAGATCCAACAGCCCAGGCCGTTCTGAAACAAGGAAAGAAAAAGACATTAGACCTGCTTCAAGTTCTAATGGAGAACGTCATTGACTCTCTTGTCCTGAAACCCATCTTTCATTTCATTGGTTCCTTCCAAGCTCTGTTAGGGAGTTAAATGGGTCCAGCACAGTGGGTTCTGCCTTCAGAAACCCAGATGTACAGAAATCCAAACTTAAGATTTAGAGAAAATAGGAAGAAAACTGTTCTCATTACTAGGCAGACTTTGTCTTAGAAGTTAAATTTTAACTCCAAAATTTCTCCTTTTAAAAACCATACTTAAAAATTTTTTTTTAAACAAGTACTACAGATCCATTCATATGGCTTAAAACTGAAATGCTGTCACGGAGAATACTATAAAGTTTCCCTCCCACCCCTGCTCTCAGTCAGCCAATTTCTCTCTTTCACATTATTGCTATCCGTTTTCTGGGCTCCTCTTTCTGTGAATAGTCTGTTCATACCCTTGCCCCACTTTTCTACCAAGTTGTTAGTCTAACTCTTGTTAATCTGTGAGTGTTTTGTCTCCAAAGTTAAAGCATTCTTAAAGTTACACCATGATTTTGTGCTTCCAGACCTGTCATCAGCTGCACTTGGGAAACACACTGGCTACTTCCCTGCTGACCTATTTTACCGCCACGCTGAGAACAAAGGCAAAAGGAGCAATCCCAGGGCCCATGGCCCGGACCACTGTGCCTGAGAAACAGCAAGTCTCCTCAGATGCTTTCAGAGAAGCATTTCCAGGGATGCCGGAGAGGGTGCCTGCAGAGTCGTCATCCAGGAAGAGTGAGCACACTCCAAAAGCCATTTTTGTGATGATGGACATGTACATTTGCACTAACTCAGGGCCACTGGCCACTTGTGGCACTTGATATGTGGCTTCTGCCACTGAGGACTGAGCTCTGGATTTTATTTTAACTATTTTCAATTTAAAACTGAATGGGGCTAGTAGTGACAAGCTATTGGACAATGCAGCCCTAGAATGAGCTGAAGCCTCCCCAATGAGGAAGCGACAGATTCCCAAGCCGGTCTACATACTCATGTAAAAGCAGGGCAGAGGCCAGGGTCTAGGAAAATCCTGTTTGGCAGAAAAGCATCTCAGCCCCTCTGGCCACCCCCACTTCATCTCTCCTTTCCCTTCCTGGGAGGATATAAAGTTTATAAACCCAGTGCAGAACTCACCTTTGCCCCAAGACCTCTCTCAGCTAAGCCCTTCCTGGGAACTTCGATTTGGCACTGCTCTGGGCACCATTTCCTGCTTCCATATGGCTGGCAGCCACCACTTGCTCCACTGCCCACCCCAAGCACGATGGAATTGGCCATGCTTTCCCTCCTGAACAGAGGAGGGGGTGATCTCCTTCTATGCTGCTGTGGCCACTGCCTCTGAGTCCCTGCAGAGACTGCATTGTGCTGTTGCCTCAGTACACACCTGAGTTGCAGGGACTTAGGGGCAGAATAAAAACTGTCCAAAGCAGGAAAGACTATTCAGAATATGGTAGTCTAAACTACCACCTCAAAATCTGTACTAAGATTTTTTTCAATGGGGAAGAAACGGTCAGCAGAAACCACTGTCAGCAAAAATGCTTCTGACCGGCCTCAGGAAGCCAGCTTCTCTGCTCCTGCTATCAGACTTGGCCCGGCTGCCAAGTGCTCTGACTTTGATTCTGCCTGTCTATGGTGGAAGTAGTAGGATTCAACAAAGCTACTACTGAGCTGAGAGCTTGGACTAAGTCTCTTCCAGGCTGGGGTCTCTGCTTCCTCCCAAGCAGATGGAAAATGCTGGTGATAACCAGTAAAGTCCTTCCAAAAACTAGGATTTGAATTCTGCTACCCGAGCCACCAAGAACAGTTACAGGGTCCATGAGCCCCATTCAGGAGCATGATCTTGGCATGGGGGGGGCACGCCATGAGCCATTACCATGTTCCACCTGAAAAGTAGGACTTTCAGTGGTTTTGAGTGTGCAGTTCCCATAGATTAAGAGTTCCAGCACCCATCAAGGCCCTGAGTCTGCCTGGATGAGTAGGGGGCCTTCCCAAGTTCAGCAACCTGTTTTTTTTTTTTTTTAATTAAAGATTTTATTTATTTATTTGACAGCTAGAGAGAGCCAGAGAACACAAGCAAGGGTAATGTCAGTGGGAGAGGGAGAAGCAGGCTCACCAATGAGCAGGGAGCCTGACACGGGGCTCGATCCCAGGACCCTGGGATCATGACTTGAGCTCAAGGCAGATGCTCAACCAACTGAGCCACCCAGGCACCCCATACCTGTGTTTATGTCACCCACAGTTGCTTGTTTGTAGTGGCTGTAGATGAAAAACAACTCATCATCTGTTGGCTTGGTCTTGAGGTGCTTAACATCCTCAACAGCTTTGTCAAACTCAGCCTAAACATGAGGAGAGAAAAGGTCTAAATAGAGCTCAGTAATGGGGAGAGACAGGGTGGAAAGGCAGCACTCCTGCAATGCCTGTTAGGAAAAGCAGTGTGTGTTCTCAGCTCCCCAACAGGGCAGCCAGAAAGATTCAGCAAAACAAGGAGGGGAAGCACAGGGGTTCACTCGTTCGATGGATAACTATGTACTGGATGCTCTTACCATACCAGGTACCAGGTGCTGGAAACACAGTGGTGAAGGAAGCAGGCTAGAAGTGCCTGCAGTAGGCATATACTTCCGTGAAAAAGCGTGGTCAACTGCCTGACCACCCCTGGGTCAGGCCGGGGTCTCAGTAAAGCCCTGACTTGCCGATAGGGCTAGCACAGCGTGTTTCAAACAGTTGAGAAGGGGACGGGGTTAGGGGACGGGGTTTGAGTACGGAGGTGTCAGCGACTGGAGCCCGTTGGACCCCCGCCCCCTGGGACTGGGCGTCCAGCGCTGACCTCTATTTCAGTGTTCTGATTGGAGAGAGGTGAGATGAGTCAGAGGTCACCCCACACAGTTCAGTCTCCGAAAGGCGACTACATTCGAAGGAGGAAAGAGTTCTGGGCCAACTCTCCCCAAGCCCTCCCCTTCCCGCACGTTGAACACTCAGCCCCTATGTCCCGTGACCTCTAAGTTGTCAGCCACGGCTTTCTCGCTTCCCCACTCTGCATGGCGTCCCTACTCCTGCCCTGACCTTCCGGATGGGGAACTCGGTCTCTTTGCTCCTTCAATCCACGGAACCCTCTATCTGCCATCTTTCTACCTAGGACCCTCGCCTCCGACCCCTGTTCCTGCTTCATCGCGAAGTCCACCCCATGGGCAACTTTCTAGCAGTTGCGGATGGGTAGCAGTGTCCAAACCCTGCAAGTTCCGCTCACGAGGCTCCCTACAGAGTCAGGGCTGGGCACGGGTGCAGGAGGCACAGCGGGGCGGGGAAGGGAAAGACCCTGTGGAGTTCTTCCTGGGAGATACCCCCTCTCCCCCCAGCCTGCAGCCTCACCGCACCTTCGCAGCCAGGCTAGGCACGCTTTATACCTGAGACATGCTGGCGGGGTTGCGAAGATCCGGAAAACCCGCGGACGCGGCGAAGAGCAGGTAACACACTACTCGACTGGCAGCGCCTTTAGAGGCGCAGCCGCAGGAGACTCCAACACTGCCAGGAAGGCCAGGCAGCCAATCAGAAGCCAGCTCTACGCTGGGGGGCGTGTCCAGCCTCCGCAGCGCCGCCAAACCCCGCCCGAAACCACGTGGGTTTGCTCGCACACGCGCAGTGGGGAGCCGAAGGGGACGCCGGGAACAGGTGGGGCCCGCGGAGGTAGGGGCGTGCTTGCGGGAGAGGGCCCGCAGGTCCGAGTCAGGGTCAGGGCTCGGCTGCTGTGGGGAGTGGACCGCGGGGCAGAGCAGAGGGGTCGGTGACCAAAGAGCAGGGACTTCTTCATTCAGTCTTGTGTCTGCAGTGAAGAGCCCGGAAGATGCGCCTCCGTACAAGTAACCTCTCAGGCCTGGGGAGGACGAGTGGGCTCCGCCCCTCACGGGGGTCTAGAGCAGTTGGTTAGGGGGTTAGGGAGTTGGAAGTTTACAGTTTTACATGGAAGGTAGGGTAGGGGAAGGTAACATTTCAGAAAGCCTTTTAAGGAGGGGAAGGGGCATTCCAGGCAGAAAATGAGTGTAAAGGTGTGAGCAAAGAGTGGAGGGAAAGAGTAGAAAGAGATGAGACTGGGGAGTTAAAGAGGTGTCCGACTGGCTAGATGATGCAGACCTTGGCCTTTATAAGAACTATAGGAATTTGGACTTTTATTTTGAGATGGGAAGCCAGAGGCTTTTAAGCAGAGGATGTTGAGACTGAGGGGAGGCACATCTTTGCGAAGTTGTTGTAGAGGCTGGTCCTCTCCATGGGAACAGAAAGGAGCAGCACAGGTGGCTTTCAGAATTTGAAGATGATGAGAATTTTCTGGTGTTTACAAAGCTGGATGAAGGGAGGGAATTGATGGAAAATTCCCTGAAGATCATTTACAAAGATCATTCCTCTCCAATTCCTAATTTGTGTCAAGAGAACTAGACTAGAAATCCTCACACACACACCCCCCAACCCATTTACAGCCACAGGTATTTAGAAAGAAAGGCCAGGTGAAAGCTTTCAGATGTAACTTCTAACTAGTGGTAGGCCAGCCTTTATAAAATAATGTTTGGGAAGAAGTGGAGATGCAGCAGCAGGGAACAAATCTAGAGGCTTAAGTCTATGAATAACTTTGGTAGAGAAGGAAAGCCAAACAAATTAACAAAAAGATTGTAGTTAAATTTGGGGAGATTACATTTGAATCTTGGGAAATAGAGGCTCCCCCCCACCAAAGCGACAGTTCAGAGCTGTTCCCCCCCCCCCCCCCCGGCACACATGAAGCCTGGATTCATTTTTGTTCCATCATTTAGTGCTTACAGATTCCTTGATGGAAATTCAGATTATTGTCTATGTGGGTCAGATTTATAGTCAAATGTATCTTAGTCATTAGGTTTTAACATTAGGTTATTGTGTTTAGCACAATAGCACAATTAGGTAACTCTGACAATGTAACTTTATATTCCTCAAAGATTGGTTGATGTGGTTGAGTTTTGTCTGGATACTGTGGAAAGCAAGGCTAGTGTTTTAACTTGGCTGTCACCAGTCTAAGTGAGGTTGATTTGTTGCTTTCTTATTTGGAATATACTCCACTCTCCTAAACAAAAAACCCCAACTTTCCACATGGTAGTTCTGTGCCCAGGTGAGTCCACAAAAGTTGTCTAATGCAAGTGAAGTATATAACTAGTAAGGATTGTGGGACTCAGGGAGCAGGGTGCTAAAGGGTTTTCCTTGCTACAGGGCCCACCCTAGGCCAAGTTTTGAAATAGCTGAAGGCATGCTCTTTGGCCTGCGTCCTGCTTCCTTCCCCCATTCCTCAGGGACCCATTTTGTGTGATTTCCACCTATGGAAATGTTGCCTTAAGGTCTCCATTTACTGTTTCTATTCTAGGCAATTGGAATGGCATTTGGCTTTTAAAATAAAGAGCTAACAAGCCAGCATCTGAGATTTAATTTTTTGAAGTAAATTTTAGAGTAAATTTGGGGATCAATAAATTGTATGAATTTTTAATTCTATATTTCTATGGCATTTAAAAGGAAATAGTTCTTTGTATCCCCAGAAAATGCAGGTTCCTCAGCTGTGTTTATATCCTTGCTAACAACTAGCACACTTGGTAGTAATTTTATTTACAATCACTTTTACTTATTCTTCTGATTTCTCTCCCCTACATAAGCCCGGGAAAATAGGGATCACCTTGTATTGGTCAGTGCTCTATCTCCAAGTGCCAGGAACTTCTTAGGCACTGAGCAAATGGCGGGTGATGAACAGAGCCCTTTGCTCTCTTTGAAATATATTCATTTTGATTAGCCATGAACTTGGAAACTAAGTTTATGGAACTGAATGTGCAACTAAAGGCAATGGTAAAGTAGATGAATTCTGATGCAAGGACCAGGTAATCTCTTTGTGTCACTCCTAGCTGGAAGCAGAACACAAAACAAATATTAAGGGAAGATGGGGAACCTGATGAGCCACCCAGTTAGTCTAATTGACCCTCCCCATTTAGTAGAGAGGCTCTTGTCATTGCTGCAACCTGCCCTCACATCCTTGGGGTGCCACTTGTGACTAGTCACAGGCTACACTTGCTGGGTCTCAGTGTAAAGCCAGACGGGCAAGATACATTAACAGGTGAAAGCAGTTCTTGCTCAGTGGGTGTGAAGAGTAGTTTTCTTTTTTCCCCTATTTATTTATTTATTTATTTATTTATTTATTTATTTATTTATATTTTGATGTAGTGTTCCATGGTTCATTATTTGCATATAACACCCAGTGCTCCATTCAATACGTGCCCTCTTTAATACCCATCACCAGGCTAATCCACCCCCCCCAGAACCCTCAGTTTGTTTCTCAGAGTCCATAGTCTCTCATGGTTTGTCTCCCCCTCCGATTTCCCCCCCTTCATTTTTCCTTCCCTACGATCTTTTTTTTTTTTTTTTAACATATAATGTATTATTTGTTTCAGAGGTACAGGTCTGTGATTCATCAGTCTTACACAATTCATGGCACTCACCATAGCACATACCCTCCCCAATGTCTATCACCCAACCACCCCATCCCTCCCACCCCCCCTACCACTTCAGCAACCCTCAGTTTGTTTCCTGAGATTAAGAACTCCTCATATCAGTGAGGTCGATTCCTCTGTCTCTTTAATTTTTCTGATGGCATAACTCCTCTTCTAGAGGCTGGGCAGCTGCAAGTCTTAACCAACCCCTCCTGCCTGCCATTCTCTTGTTCCTTTGGATGTTTATATTCAGAGGAATTGCAGCAAGCTGGATGTGAGAGAAGTGTGTGTGTGACCTGTATGTGTATGATTTGCTCCTTTCCTGAGTCCTGTTTCCAGCCAACATGGCGGGGTGGTGGTTTGGGCTGAGGTGAGACTTGGATACCAGGGCTTGGGAGTAGGGGTTTGTGGGGGAAGTGTCCTACACTGGCTGGGAGTAAGGAAGGAGAGACTTTTTAAAAAAAATTTTAAAGATATTATGTATTTGACAGCACAAGCAGGAGGAGCGGCAGGCAGAGGGACAGGGAGAAGCAGGCTCCCTGCTGAGCAAGGAGCCCAGTGCTGGGCTCCAACCCAGGACCCTGAGATCATGACCTGAGCCGAAGATAGACGTTTACCCGACTGGGCCACCCAGGCGCCCCGAGAGACTTTCTGAAGACTGACTTAAACATAAGTAAAGATAAACACTGCTGAGACTACTCCTGGATCCTGTTTGGAAATACTTAACGATTATGGACAGGAGTAATGAAGCACCTTAGAAGATAGCTTGAGTTCAGTACCGTAGTTCTTATTCAACCTCATTAGAAGTATAAACTCTTCTAAATCTGCTTTCATTTTGCCTGTTTCCCTAGCTCCTAGTTGCACATGACAGACCCTTGGTAAATGCCTTAGAACTAGGTTGTTAGGTGAATTTTCTAGTGAGCTTTTTTATTGCCTCTCAACAAGAAAATTAGAAATATTAAAATCTGATGATAGGTGTCTTGGCTGATAGTACCTTTGGAGACAATGCCATTTTAAAAAACTTTATTTTTGAGATGATGCACTAAAACAAAAAACCCTAATTTTTATTTTGAGGCAGTTGTAGGTTCACATGGAGTTGTTAAGTAACACGCAGATCCCTTACACCCTTTACACATTTCTCCCAGTGGTAACATCTTGCAAAACTATAATACATACCATAATCAGTACATTAACATTGAAATATATAAGATACAGAACATTTCCATTATCAAGGAGCCCTTGTGTTATCCTATGATAAGGAAATCTGTGTGATTTAAAAAGTTAGAGCTTTGGGGCGCCTGGGTGGCTCAGTTGGTTAAGCGACTGCCTTCGGCTCAGGTCGTGATCCTGGAGTCCCGGGATCGAGTCCCGCATCGGCCTCCCTGCTCAGCAGGGAGTCTGCTTCTCCCTCTGACCCTCTTCCCTCTCATGCTCTCTCTCTCAAATAAATAAATAAAATCTTTAAAAAAAAATAAAAAGTTAGAGCTTTTGCAACTTTATTGCTGGTTACATAAATTTGGCCATTATAATGTGCAAGCAATTGGAAAAAAAGTCAAGTAAATGCTTGTTTTTATAGCAGTTCTCATTACAAATATTTATGTGGTAATGTCTATAAACAGCATCACTTTGATTACAGTAAATGTAGTGTTGTGATAAATTGTTTAATGGGGGAAAAGCTTTTCATTATTGAGTCTGATGTTAGCTGTGGTTTGTTATATGTGGTCTTTATTATGTCTACCCTCTTCATTGAGAGTTTTTGCTATAAACAGATGTTGAATTTTGTTAAATGCTTTTTCTACATCCATCAAGATGACCATGATTTTATTATCCTTCAATTTGTTAATTTGGTGTATCACATCTATTGATTTGTGGATGTTAAACTATACTTGCATGCCTGGAATAAATCCCACTTGATTGTGGTGTATGGTCTTTTAATGTATTGTTGAATTGGGTATGTTAATATTTTGTTTGGGATTTTTGCATGTGTATTCATCAGGGCTGTTGGCCTGTAATTTTCTTTTTTGGTGGTATCTGTCTGGTTTTGGTATCAGGGTGATGCTGGCTTTGTAAAATTATTTTGGAAATATTCTGTCCTTTTCAGTTTTTTAGAATAATTTGAGAAGGATGGGTACTAACTCTTCTTTAAATGTTTGGTAGAATTCATCTCTGAAGCCATCTGTCCCTGGACTTCTGTTTTTTGGGAGTTTTAAAATTACTGGTTCGGTTTCATTACTTGTAATCAGTCTATTCATATTTTATATTGCTTCGTAGTTCAGTCTTGGAAGGTTGTGTATTTCTAGGAATTTATCCATTTCTTCTAGGTTTTCCAATTTGTTGGCATATAATTGTTCAAAGTACTCTCTTTGATCCTTTGT